GTGGTACGAGGGCGTACATGCCACGGTACCCCTGCAGAGGTCAAAGGACAACTTGCAGGACTCAGTTCTAGTCTTCCACTCTGTGGGTCCTGGGGGTTGAACTCAGGTCATCAGACTAGGCAGCAAGTGTCTTTACCCACGGAGCCATCTCACTGGCCCGGGGACATCTGTTCGGTCTCCCACCGAAGCCCTATTTGGGGTGAACAGGCATGAGTTCATGCCTCCCCAAGAAAAGTTTTACAACAGAACTCTTTAAAACAGCCTTTCCACAGCACTCCCTCAATCCCTGCCATGGGCTCACAGATGATCTCTCACAGAATCCCTCCAGACCCTGTGCACCAGCATGGGTTTTCTAGAACTGGGCGGGATGACCCCCGAGTCCATTACTGTGCTACATTTTATTGTCAATCACCTCGTCACCTGTCACCTCATTTTTTTTTTCCAACAATGAATCTTATTGTTGTAGGTCTTCTTTCTCAGGAACCAAAGCATAAGTTTCAGCTCTGACTGATTAAGCATCCTGCCTGACATTGGACAGATGAGAGGGCGGGGCGCCCAGAATCCCCGGGCCTTGCTTTTGTCATTGGCTTCTTGGGTACGGGAACTTTCTGGGTACTTTTGATTTCACAGGAACAGTTTGATTTTTTTTTTATTTCTCCCTCTATAACTAAGATCAATTTCAAATGACTCCAGGGCATGAAGGAGAGATCCCCATGGATTGAGAATTGTAGAGAGATGATGATAAGTATCTCTTCAAAAATACGTATTTTTGAGATGGAGTGTCTTGTAGCACAGGCTGGTCTTGAACTAGCTATGTAGGCAAGGATGACCTTGAAGTTCTGATTCTCCTGCTTCCACCTCCCAAGCGCTGCCTAGTTTCATGCTTTACTAGGGATCAGGAACCTAGGGATTGATGCATGCTGAGCAGAACTCTACCAGTGAGCTCTATTCCCAGCTGAGGAAAGGCCTATTTAAATGCATCCCCTCAGTAACTATTTGCCAGTGCCCCCAATGTACCCTCAGCAAGGACAAACCCATCATCAGGGTCAGCTTGATATACTCATACCTGTCTGTAACCCCTAAGGACAGGCCCTGGTGGTCACATGTCTAGAGAAGACAAGCCATTCCCGGGCTCCGCCAGACCACCTCGCTTGCCCTTGAGCCCCTGCTGGCTGGCAGGGTTGACAGACAGGTGGCTGTGAGGCCATCTGCTAGCGCAGCAGTGGGCACTCCGTGCCCGTGCATGGAGCTGCTGGGGGCTTAATGAATCTGTTCGTGAGGAGAAAGGCAGAGCGTGAGGGCCCGTGTCAGGGACATCTGAGCTGGCCTCTTGAAGGCTGAATGGAATTTACCAGGTGGGCAGAGGACATTCGTGATGGGGCAGAGCGTAAGGACACAGAAGTCACAGAACATAGAGGAGAGTGTGGGGAATGAACGTGTGTGTGTGTGTGTGTGTGTGTGTGTGTGTGTGTGTGTGAGAGAGAGAGAGAGAGAGAGAGAGAGACAGACAGACAGACAGACAGACACAGAGAGACAGAGACAGAGAGACAGAGACAGAGAGAGGTGACTTCTCCAATGTTTCTCTATCTTTCACCCAAGTGCTGTCTTGCCCCCCCCCCCCCCCCCAGTCCTCTGCCGTGAGCTTGTTCTGTGAGAAAAGCTGTCTTTGAATCTGTTCTTCCTAAGCCTGTCCCAGGCTTGGCTTCCAGAGGGACAGACACTCGATCCAGCCCAAAGCTGGGGAGGGGCACCACAGGAAGAGCAGCTGCCAGGGTGGTGTTGACTCCAGATGGAAAGCCTTTGGAGAATTCTGATGTGACATCACAGCACCCGACGCTGCCCAGGCTGGGCCACCCTTTCCCAGCAGCCGGGTCAACCCATCCTCCCCCTGCCTAGCTAGCCCAGGCGAAGGACCTGGGCTTGCTGGAGGCTGTGGGGAAGTGGAAATGATATCTAGAACCAAGGGGGTGGTCCCAGCACAGTCCTTCTGGGCATCCAGACTGGCTCTGCGCCCATCCTGGATGTGAACAAGTGCCCTTCATCTGTTCCCAGGGACTAGAGCCTAATCTTCATCTATACCCCTGGCTGGAAGAGGGACCCAGTATGGCTGCTCTGTGTTCTCCTACTCAGCCCAGAGTCTTGTCATCTCTTCTCTCAGTCAGGCCTCCGTTCCCAAAGGGCCACTGCCACTCTGCCATGTGCCTTTCTGCAGCTCAGTCCCAGGCCTGTTAAGCCCTGTTGAGCCAGGTGAAGAGCTGGGGCTGCCCCAGCCCTAGGCTGGAGGATGAAAGGGAAACCCTGTCACAGCTGACATGGTCCCCCTGGGCTCCAGCCCAGTGCTTGGCTTCAAGGCACCATCTGTCACTGCAAAGGCTGATTGGGGACAAAGGCTGGCAGGAGAGCTTGGAGGGCAAGCCACAGCGGCCTGCACAGTAGTTTGTGGGCTGTCCCTCTTTGCCTGTCTCCTGCCACCATCACCCACCTGGGCAGCTTGGAACTGAAGGGTAACAGCCGTGGTAGGCTCCCAGCTCAGGCTGGCTCCAACTACCCTGACATCCAAGAGTGGTGTCTTCTGGGGAAGCCAGAGGGCACAGCCAGATGGTCTCTAGCCCAGGCTAGCATCCAATTCCAGGCGTCACTGCAGTCACCGCAGAGCCATAGGCATAGTTGGGCACTGGCATCAGCCACAGGAGAGGCTGCCTCGGGTTAGCACCTTGGCTGGCTCTCTGTCTCCTCCCAGGGAGCAGGGCACCGTCAGGGCACATAGCTGAATATGGCCAGGGACTCCTGTGGGTGGAGACACATTTCTGGCAGGGCAGAGCCCTTGGGATAGGGACATGTCCCTACAGGCTGGATAGCAGGAGGCCTACCTGTGTCCTCAGCAGACCAGTTTTGCCACCTGTCACTTTAGAAAGGGTTAGGGAGCTTCGGAGTAGGCAGAAGCCAGAGATCATGGAGTATGAGAATTGGGAGGAGAAGGGGGAAAAGGAAGGAGCAGAGAAGAAATCAGACATCAGGAGAGGGGAGAGGAGGAGCAGGAGCAGCAGGGGAAGACAGAGCTGGGCTACGGTTAGCACCAGACCCCAAAGTAAGAGTGCTCCAACATGTCAGAACCATCACTACCTAACAGCTGTGGGGAGGTCTAGTGTTAGTGTGGAAACCCAAGGTCTTTTGCTTTTGACCCTTTCTAATGCGTCTTCCCCAGCCTTTCGTTTAGTTTTTGTTTTGAGACTGAGTCTCACTGTGTGGCCCTAACTGAACCAGAGCTCACTTTGTAGACCTGGCAGGCCTTGAACTCATAGAGTCCTGCCTGCCTCTCCTATGTCTCCCAAGCACTGGTATGAAAGGCATGTGCCATCATGCTCAGCCCCTATTTTAAGCAGCAGGTTGGAGGATGAGGTGTGGGGGAGGGTACAGGCCGGACTTTAAGGACCCCAGTGTGAGCTACATCCAACTTCCTTAGGCTTATTACTGGGCAGAATATTTCTCATAGCTACATCTAGCTGCAAGGGAGCCTGGACAACGTAGCCTTTTTTTTTTCCTGAACATTCATGGATCTAGAATAAAAACCTCAATGAAAAAGGAGACAATAGAAACTGGCACAGAGGAGGGTAAAGAAGAGGGGACTCTTAGGAAGAAGAGGGAGACAGGAAGGCGCACAGGGGAAACTAAGCAGCCTTGCTAGACCTGACCATCAGCCTTCCCGGCTCTTACCCTAGGGTGACTAGCTCTAGGAATCTGTCATAGATTAGATCCTTGCAGGCCAGATCCTTTCTCTTGTCCAGTGATTGTTAAGCCTGCTATGAACTCCTGGGAGTATGATGTGGATTTTTTTTTTTTTTTTTTGGTGAGGTTTTCCAGGAAAGGTCTATGTCTAACACTAGGAGAGAAGACTAAACGCAGGGGCTGGGGAGATGGCTCATTCAGTAAAAGGCTTACTGTATTAACATGAGGACCTGAATTTGATGCCCAACACCCATGTGAAAAGGACCCGTACGGCCGTATATCTAGTGCTGGAGAGGTGGAGACAGAAAGCTCCCTAGGGTTTACTGGCCAGTCAGTCTACCCAAAGCAGCAAGCTCCGAGTTCATTGGGAGACGTTACCTCAAAAAAAAAAAAAAATATGATAGAGAGGAGGCAGCAAGATGACTCGGTGGGTGACCTGAGTGCAATCCTTGGGACCCACAGGGTAGGAAGTGAGAGTCAACTCCTGCAGGTTGTCCTCTGGCGGCCACATGTGCACAGCGGTATGCGTATACAAAGTCAAAATGCAACACATATGCACACACATGGTTTTCTAGTAAGATAGAAAGCCACTGAGTAAGCAAACTGATGTCAACCTCTGGCTTCTACACCTACATACCCACACACATGTACACCCTCAGGAACTAACACACACATAGATAGACCAATAAACTATGTAAGAAAAATAAAAATAAAAATAAAAAGATCCAGGTCAACGTCTAACTGTCTCTTAAGCTGAGAAAAGGCTCCTGAGCGTAGCTACGGTGTGATGGATGTCAACAGAATTATATGTTTTTGGCATTCAAGCAAGAACCTTGAGGGGCTTTCTTCGAGGTAGTAAAGGTACATACGCCATATAGGACTGTCTCATGTAGCAACGAGGCTACAACTGGCTTCACATGATAGAAAATCTGTCCAGAATGTTGAACGAGAGTATCTGTATCTGTCAAAGCATCAAGCCCCGAGGACGGCACCGGGACTTGGCGCTGGGGCTCTTGTTCCATCTCCCACAACCCTGACAGTGCTTCTTCCTTTAGATGTGGGGCGGCAGTCAGACCACCAAAGACGATGCCCTTCCAAAACTGCTCTCATTTTCTTTTTAAATATTTATTTTATTTATTAGTGGCAGGGGTGGGGGTACATGCGATGGCATGTGTGTGAGGTCAGGACAACTTTGGGGAGTTGATTCTCTTCTCTCATCATAGATTCCAGGGATCAAATTCAGATCGCCAAACCTGCACAACAGGCCCTTTTGCCTTGTAAGCCCTTTAGATCTGAATTTTCTGAGTGTCTGCATGTGTGTACAGCCGTGTTCACGTGTGTCGGGGTGCAGGGAAGGTCAGCAGAATTCTTCTATCACCCTACACCTTAATTTAAATTCAAATTTAATTTAATTTGTTTTAATTTGATTTTATGCGTATGAGTGTTTTGCCTGAATGTATGTCAGTGTAAGACATGCGTGCCTGGTCCCAGAAGAGGGTGTCGGATCATCTGGAACTTGAGTTACAAATGGTTGTGAGATGCCGTGCACGTGGGTGCTAAGAATGGAACCCAGATCCTCTGGGAGAGCAGCCAGTGCTCTTCACTGCTGAGCCTCTCCCCAGTCTCCACACCTAATTCTTGGAGATGGGATTTCTCATCACATCTAGAACTTGCAAATTAATTTAGCGTGGCTGACCAGCAAGCCAGTCCTGTCTCTGATCTTCCTGCTTCTTCCTCCCCAGCCCTGAGACAACAGGTGCCGTACCACTGTGCTTACAGCTCAGGGGGGCTGACTGCCGGTCCTCATGCCTGGATGGCAGCACTCTACTGACAAAGGCAGCTCCCCCAGCCAGTTTTCTTTGTTTTTAGGCACGAAGGATCCTACTTCTGCTGTGAATGCTGCTATGGCAGCTGTGTGCTGCCACGCCTCCCCTCGGCCCCAGATTGCTTTCAAAGGAGGTAGTCTCCTCACCAGTTTTATTTTATCTGGAGGGCATTCCTTTCCCAGAACATTTCTACCAGGATTGCCCCTATCTTGACTAGACTGGGTACATCTTCTTCCCTAAGTCAACCACGGGTAAGAATGAATGGGCCTACCCTTTCCCACGGGGTGGAGAGTTTCACCGGATCATGAGGCATCGTCTAGAACTCACTTTCTCTGAGCACATTAAGGCTGGATCATGAGCAAGAACAAAGTTCTGCTTTTCTTTGTTCTGTTATCAAAGAAGTAAGGAACAATGGGTGTTGGTTTGGTCGAGGGCAGACATTAGTAATCAATGAAGTATAGCACTTTCTCGGTTGAACCAATCAAGTGGTTGGCACACGAAATGAAAATGTGTGGCTGGCGATATGGCTCACTGGTTAAGAGTTCTGACTGCTCTTCCAGAGGATCCAGGTTCAATTCCCAGCACCCATATGGTAGATCACAACTGTTTATAACTCTAGTCCAGAGGATCTGATGTCTTCTTCTAGGCTCCCTGGGCACCAGGTATGCATGTAGTGCACAGACATACATGCAGGCAGAACACCCACACACCTAAAATAAAAATAAGTAAATCTTAAAAAAAAAAATAAGAAAGAATCAAAATATGTTATCTAGGCCTTAGACAGTGGGAGGTAAAGTAGCCATAATTCAAGTATTTAGGAGCTTTATTTGTTTTGTTTTTTATTTTATGTATGTTAGTGTTTTGCCATGGAAAATTTTGGATCCCCTGAAACTGGAGTTACAGACAGTTGTGAGCTGCCATGTGGTGCTGGGAATTGAACCCGGGTCCTCTGGAGGAGCAGCCAGTGCTCTTAACCGCTGAGCCATCCCTCTAGCCCTGGGAGTTTTATTTGTTCAATTGCTGGGCAGGCATTCTACAATTGACTGAGTTACAGCCCCAGTCCCAAGACCTCCCTGCTTTTTGAAGCAGGGTCTTACCAAGTAGCCAGGTTGGCTTTGAACTTGCAATCCTTCTCTCTCCGTTTCCCAAGTGCTAGGATTACATGTGTGCACTACCATGTCCTCAGGGCACCTATAGTGATCCACCCATGTTGTCATTTCCTCACATGGCACCTCTAAAGAGGTCTACAAACTCCTTGGCATTCCTTTCAGAAGGCAGATTGCAACTGGATTCAGTGACTTCTAACTGACAGTAGCTGAGAGATGGGGCATGGCTTCATTTGTTTTGTTTTGTTTTGTTTTGTTTTGAGACACTGTTTTCCTGTGTAACACTGGCTGTCCTGGAACTCACTCTGTAGACCAGGCTGGCCTCAAACTCAGAGATCTGCCTGCCTCTGCCTCTGGAGTGCTGGGATTAACAGTGTGCACCACCATGCCCGGCTCAGGGTGTGAGTTTTAAGAGGGAGTCATAAAGGAAATATAGCTTATTCCTTTCTCTTTCATATCATTTGCTCTGGGGGGAGACAGCTACCATACACCATGAGGCATATATATCAGTAGCCCTTTGGGGGTGGGACCAGGACCTTCTGCCAACAGCCATTTTAGAAGTTGATCTTCCAGCCCAGCAACGCCTTCAGATGACTGAAGCCCCCGCTGACATCGGGACTGCACCTCACGACAGACCCCAAGCCACTTCTCCCAGTTAAACTACTCTCAGATTCCTGGCCCACAGAATCCTCCACAGAACCAATGTTTTTTGTTTCAAGTCAGCAAGTCTTGGAGAGTCTGCTGTGAAGTCAGTTGGGGCTGGCACTGAGGGAAGCCCATGGTACAGCTGGGGTACATAGTGGGAGGGGGTACACCACTCTCAGGATTTTAGAAGGCCCAAGTCAGGCCTGTAAGATGGCTTAGTGCAGTGGTTCTCAACCTGTGGGTCGCAACCTCACATAGCAGATATCCCACCCATCAGATATTGACGTTACCACCCAAAACAGCAGCAGAATTATAGTTACGAGGTAACTAACAACAAAACAATTTTGGGGCTGGGGTTCACCACAACATGAGGAACTGTATTAAAGGGTCTCAGCATTAGGAAGGTTGAGAACTACCGGCTTAGTAGATAAAAGCACCTGCCCCCACTCTGGATGACCTGAGTTCAGTCAGCTCCCACATGTGGGGAAAGAGAACCAACTCTTGTGAGTTGCCAGCTGATCTCTCCACACGTACCATGCCACATGCATGCCTACATACTAACTAACTGGATGCATTTTAGAAAACTGACAATAAGAAGGGCAGAGTCAGCTCACGGTCTCTGGTGAGGGGGGTGACACTTTCAGCTGTATCCTTAGCTCCTCAGGTGCCTCATCTTAGCCCCACCCCTGTGGCGGGCTGGAGGTGTCCCATCCTCTTCTGTACCCGCGTCCCATGCCTCTCCCTCTCACTCTCCAGCTCGATTCTGGAAGTTCTGAAGATGCTGCTTCCATCTGTTTCTCAGCTGGAGCAGACAACTAAGCCAGCATCCAGGAACCTCTGGTGACAGAGACTGGATCCGCCGGGATGTGTGACCCAGTCCTGCCCGATCAGATGTGTGATGTGTGACCCAGTCCTGCCCGATCAGAATAGACGCCGAGGCCTTTGCTGGCAATGCTGGGGTAAATGTGATCCCACTTTTCTGACGTGAACAAGAGCAGGCTTCTGGCGGTCTGTGTGGGACCACCCAGGGGACCCTGTCTGGGGCAGGGAGGCGGCAAAGGTGACGGCAGGGAACTGAGAAACAGAGTCCGTGGGGATTCTACTCAGCGGCTAGATTAACACTTTCCAAGAGCCAAAGTCGACCTTGTCCTGGGGCTCCTCAGCCCAGTAAGCTAAGCATTTCCCTTTTAAAATTTAAACCAGTTTAGGTCTGGTTTTTGGTTACAAGGCAAAGGAAAGCATGAATGTGATGTTAAGCACACAGAGGAGACCCCCATCAGTTCCTCACGCAGATTGCTGCCAAGCGTGCAGCTGTTCCGTGCTGTGCAGAGCGAGTATCCAGATGTTCGGTTACACTGCTCTTGTTTTCGGCCAGATGTTTAGCATCTTAGAGATGGGAGGTTAACATGATCTCATGCTTAACCAAATGCATCCTGTATCCTTCCCATCTCTCTGCTCTGGGGCAGGGGTGGAGGGTGGTCTGAGGTATGCTTGCTCCTAGCCTCTTCTAGGTGGCCACGCCCTGCCCACATCCTGGAGCAGGTGCTAAGTTTTGGGTCATGTGATGGCATCTGCATACTTGTCTCCTTCACCAGAGCTCTTTGGGATCCATATTTAGCACAAAGAGACAGCTCGGGTGGCCATCTGATGATCTGAAGAGAGGAGCTGGAGCCAGGGGTCTTCCTTTGCCTCTCTACATGAAGATGCGATGCTGTCCAGAGGCAGGGCAGCAGAGCAGAGCTCAGTCCACAGGGAGAATGCCAAGCAAGCAGAAGGGCTGTGTGAGCAGAAACCAAGGAAGATACAAATGGAGACCAAACCATCCTAGAGTCCAGGGGAAAAGAGGATGGAGCTGACCACAGAAATAGCAGAGAGAGAAAAAGAGAGGGGGGAGGGGAAGGAAGAGGGAGGAAGGGAGAAGGGGGAGGGAGGGGGGAGAAGGGGAGGGAGGGAGGTGGGAGAAGGGGAGGGAGGGAGGTGGGAGAAGGGGGAGGGAGGGGGGAGAAGGGGAGGGAGGAGGGAGAAGGGGGAGGGAGGGGGGCGGAGAAGTGGAGGGAGACAGCAGGGGAGAGGCTGCACAGGGGTCTGGGGAGATGCCTCAGTGGGTGAGGCACTTGCTATGCAAGCATGAGAACCAGAGTTTGGATCCCCAGTAACTCCTGTATCTCTTTATCAGTGGCTCATATTGAAAAATAGGGGCGAGGCATGGTGATGAGTGCCCACACCACAGTATTTGGAAGGGTAGAGACAGTAAATCCTCAGAGCTCACTAGCTAGCCAGGCTGGCAGAAACAGTGAAAGAGTGATGGAGTTGGTTTCTGACCTACACACACACACACACACATACACACACACACACACACACACACACACACACACACACACACACACACGAAATGCACAAAGGAAGAAATGGAGTGCAGGTATTTAGGCAAGGATACACTGTATTTTGGACACAACTCTAAATCTTAGCAGTTAAATCAATCAGGGCTTCTTTTTTTTTCTTAAATGTTATTATTTTATATGCATGGGTGTTTTGCCTGCCTGTATGTATGTGCATGGTACCATGGAGATCAGAAGATGGTGTCTAGTTCCCCGGAGCTGGAGTTAGAGTCCATCGCAAGGTGCCCTGTGGATGCTAACAATCAAAACCTGGTTCTTTTGCACGTACAACAGGTGCCCTTAACCACTGAGCCAACTCTTCAGCCCTCAGGATTTGTTCTTGTCCACACCCAATCTGGCCCACAGATCAGAAGAGAAAAACCTCAACGCCTGGTCATCATGAAAGAACACCTGGCCGTGAGCATCATGGGTGCAGAGGCAGGAAAAAGACATTTGGCGAACAATTTGAGGATTCTCTCTGGAGCCTCTTCTGCTTAGAACACACTGGCTAGTGTGAGTTTCATAGCCTCACCTACATTTTAAAGGCAGAAAGAGGCAGACAATGTTAACGTAAGCACAGACACAGGAACATGTGTGGCCATCCTTATCGTCTGTCACAGAGAGCCAGCTGGTTCCAGAACTGCCTCAGACGCCACAGGAAGAGTGTGTGAGACTCTGATGTCCTCTGTCCACACAAGCTCTCTGTCCCTCACTGACTTGCACAAATACATTTGTGTGTTATCACTTGAAGCATCCACCCACAGACATCTTGTTTCATCTGGAGGCTCCTTTGCAACTGGGAAATTCCTCCCTCCAAGGCCTGTTGTTACCAATGTGTCTGTGGGGTTGGTCTCTGTTGTTTAGGTGGTGCTGGGGAAGTGAACCAGAGCCTCACACAGGCCAGCAAACGCTCTACCACTGAGTTATACTCCAAGCCCCACTTCCTCCCTCCTTCCCTCTCTCCCTCCCTTTCATCATCGTCATCATCATCATCATCATCATCATCATCATTTTGTTTTTTCCAGACAGGGTTTCTCCATTTAGTTTTGGTGCTTGTCCTGGATCTTGCTTTGTTGACCAGGCTGGCCTCGAACTCACAGAGATCCACCTGGCTCTGCCTCCTGAGTGCTGGGATTAAAGGTGTGTGCCACCGATGCCCAGCTGCTTCTTCTTCTTCTTCTTCTTCTTCTTCTTCTTCTTCTTATTATTATTATTATTATTATTATTATTATTATTATTATTGTTTGGTTTTTTTTTTTTTTTTTTTTTGGTTTTTCGAGACAGGGTTTCTCTGTGTAGCTTTGCGCCTTTCCTGGATCTCGCGCTGTAGACCAGGCAGGCCTCGAACTCACAGAGATCTGCCTGCCTCTGCCTCCCGAGTGCTGGGATTAAAGGCGTGCGCCACCACCGCCCGGCTTGTTTGGGTTTTTTAAGAGAGGATCTCTGGCCTGGAACTCACTATTTAGACTAGGCTGGGCTCAATCTCACCGAGATCCCCCTAGCTCTGCCTCCTGAGTGCTGGGATTTAGAGCATGTGCCACAATGCCCTTGCATTCTTCTACATTTATTTATTTATTTGTATGTGTATGGACGCATGTGGAATCCAGAAAACAGTACGCAGGAGTCAGCTCTCTTTATACCATGCAGGTTCCTAGAACTGAACCCAGGTCATCAGGTTTGACAGTACCTTTACCCATGGGCACTGTCTCCCTCCCTCCCTCCCTCCCTCCCTCCTCCTCCTGTCTTCTTTCTCACCTTCACCTTCACTGTGTTGTCTTCCTCATCTTCGTCTCTGCCTGGTCCTCCTCTTCTTTCTTTCAGGTTTTATGTCGCCTAGGCTGGCCTGGAACTCACAGCCCTGCAGCCTGAGCTACACTGGAATTGCAGGCATTATTACCACATATCATCCTGACTCTGTTTTATAACAAAGTGGATATCAAGGCTATCATCACACAGGCAGGATATCGAGGAGAACTTCCGGAAACTCCATGAGCACACAAGGAGTCTCCGGACAGGCAACAGTTTGGATCTGTACCATTTCCTAGGGCTTTCTGTTTGCCAGTGTGTGTGCTTAGAAGTTTGCCTGACACACTTCATTTAAAACACCTTGGGCCAGTGAGATGTCATATATACATGCGCGTAAGACACTCATATACATAAATTAATAAAATCAATATTTTAAAATAAAAAATGTAACATTAAAAAATACTTTCATCTTGCTGCTGCAATAACTTTCACATGCTGTTGGAAGAACTTTGGCTTAGAAGCTCAGCTCCTGGGAGGTATAATTTTAGTGACTGAGCCCCTCACATTTCAGTACTTATCCAAAAGAAGTTGTGCATGGCGGCCAACCCTGGGACCAAGGTTAGTCTCTGGGAGGGGGAGAGGTGGCCTCAGCCAGACAAAGCTTGCTTCTCAGGACTGACAGCCTCAGATCTGGGAGAGCCACACTTAGTTGCATAATGCCACATCCTTTGGGTGGTCCTTCCCTGAATGCAAATTCTTCTTGGAGAAAACTGAGAAGCCGAGAACACATACGGTCTCTGAGAACATGGACTGCCCTAACTGTGGTCTCTAAGTATTCTCTCCCACAGGAAGGAGTAACACTTCCTGGAGAAGTGCCTGTTTCCAGGTCAGTGAGTAAGATAAGCCCAGAACATCTTGTACTAGAAAGCAAGAAAGAGATCACACCCCAGCAGGACCATGACAGAGGACCTGAAGGCGGTCATCCCGGATAAATGGGACCATCCGCGTACTGAATACCCTTGAGTTCAAAATGCTGATACAGAGACATTCGGGAGCTGGGCCCATGGCTCAGTAGGTAAAGTGGTTGCTGCTGAAATGTGAAGACCTGAGTTCAAATCCTTAGACCCCACGAGGGGGAGAAACCCACCAATAGCAAAAGAATAGTTTTGGTGGATCACTGGGGAGGCAGAGACAGGCAGATCCCTGGGACTTGCTGGCCAGTCAGCCTAGCTGCATCAGTGAGCTCCCATTTCAGGGAGACGGCTGACTCAAAAAACAGGGTGAAAGAGACCAAGGAAGAGGCCAGCATTGGCTTCTGCCCTCCATGTGCGCACACGCACACATACACACATATACAACACATTTTAAAAAAGAGATTTTTGGAGGACATTTAGAGAGTCAGCCTGTCCTTCTGAGACCTGACAGAGTGAAAAGAAGGGGAAATTTTACAAAAATCGTCTTTGGGAACTCGCGACAATACAGTGAACTCGAAAACTAGTTGACCAACTTTCCAGGGTTCTTCCAACCCCCCCCCCCACTCCCCACCTCCCCCACCTCCTCCACCCCACCCCACCCCACCCCGGTTTCTCTGTGAGAGGGAAAGTGGCAAGTCCTTGGGCTCCTCAGGTCTGGGGGACAATTGGGGAAGAGCCCAGGGGCCAGAGATCTTGTCAGCCTCTTCAAGGGGAGGGACTCCTTACCTGGACAAAGAGAAGCTTGCAGGCTGGCCATCTGAAGTTCAGCTCCTTAGGAGCCAGTCAGATGAAGCCCAATCCAGCAGGGGGAAGGAATGGCAGGGAGGCAGGCTGACGACACACCCCAGGTGTGGTCCTGTCACGGTGTCCCTCGGGGCTTTTCTCCCTTGTTCTACAAGAGTGAATTTCTGCTCCAACAACCCTTATCTGCTCAGTCCCTACAGCCACTTCAAACTCCATCAAGCCCCTCACCCCGAGGCCTCATCCACCTTGACGGTTCCGCATCCCCAGGGTCTTCCCTGTGTGGGGAGCTGGCACTACAGGGCAAGGGGAAGCGACCTGGGTCCGAACTGTGTTTACTCTCAACCCTCCCTCATAGTTTTCCAGCTGTCTTGGCCAGCTCAGCTTCTTCTGTGACTGTCCCTGGTCCCTAAAGTTTGACAAGCGTTCTGGCTTGGATGGAGGGGAGGCCACCTCCACCTGAGAGCCTAGGCTGGTCCCAGCACCCTGGTTCCTGACCAGTTTTGGTTGCTCTGCTCCTCTGTGGGTTGACGGCATCTGTGTCCATCTGTCCTCCTTCTGTGGATTGCTGACCACCTCCCTATCCTGTCTCCTCTCCTACCTCTTCACCCCCAACTTCCTCACTTACCCTACACCCTGCCTGCCTCTCATCTCCAGAGCCGTCCCCGAAGGACCGAGATAAGCACCATGTCCCCAGATCACTCCATTAGAGAGCTGTGGGCCCACCTCTTCCCCAAGGAAGGACCCCCACGGACACTGACCTTCAGAATCCTGTCCCGACATGTCCTTGGCTAACAGGCCTTGGCAGTCCTCCCTTACTCTGACACCCGGCCTTTGCCTGACCTCATGAGCAGGCCTGGGCGCCAGCCTCGGCCCTCCCTGGCTGGCCCATCCCCTGGCCGCCCCAGCCCGGCTTATGACATCTTTCCACTGAGCAGCCCTTATTTTGAGAAGGCAAACCCAGTGGCGCCCACAGGCATGTACACACGCTAACACACGCGCACACACACCCTGCCCCTCTAGCGCCCCAATGCTGCGCGAACTGAACTTCCAATCTGGCTGGCCATGTTTGTTTTTCTTCCTGTAATTTCCCCTTTGGAACAAACACCAGTGCTGAAGCTCGGCCACCCCCTCCTCAGTCTCCAGCCTCTCGGGCGTCTTTCTCTCTGTCCTCCGGAGAGCTCAGCTATGAATGAGAACAGAGTCATCTTTAGCAGCAGCCTGAATGAATTGGTCTCAGCCTCCAAGCCAGCATGAGTGGCGGGGTGATGGGCAGCATGTGGGTTTGCTGCTTAAAACTCTTTGCACCCCCTGAAGCTTATATTTTTCCATGTGCCTTGGAACAAAGCCCTCACCCTCCAGCCCCCCTCTTTTTAAAGTTTATTTTGTTGCAGTTTTTGGTCCCACGCATTTTGTTTTCTGTTTTCTACAAGGGAGACTGAATTAGGGCCTCAGAAAAACAAGGCCAGGCTGCCAACTGGAAATGTTTGCTCTGGGGGCGAGTTGGGAGGCTGGCGTCAGGCGGGGCAAGATCCGTGCCAGTGGAATGTGATTTGGGGAGGAAGCTGCAGGTCACTCAGTTGCTGGCAGGCGGCCCGGGAGCAACTGGATGCTTTCTGGGCTGTGTGTGTGCATGAAGACTTTTTTCCCCCCTCATGCAAACAGAGCCCCAGAGACGTGGAGACAGAAGCATTAGGAACGAAGTAGACAAGGAGTAGGAAAACCCGAAGGGGTGGGTAAAATGGGTGGAGTGGGATGAACGGCAAGATCCTTTCGGCCACTTCGTTCAGTACTCACGGAGTCCTTTGCTCAAAGGTGGAGGGGCACACTGGTGGGAGGGAGTGGGGGACCCTGGGACTGAGAAAGAAGGCTCCCAGTACAGAGCACAGGCCAATTTCCTTGGAAATCCTCTCAGAGCAGGGTGCATGGATATTCTCAAGTGTTCAGGGGAGGCTTCCTGGAGGAGGTGTGAGAGGTAAGGCCCTGAAGCTTTGCACTAAAAGAAAAGCATCTATGTTTGATGGCCTGCTAGTGGTTACCATGCGCCAAGCCTTTTCCACTAATCATCGCCTTAATCCTTTTTATCCTTTGTGTGACACCAGGTATCCTGTGCCCAGGCTAGCCTAGGACTCCCTGTGTAGCTGAGGATGGCTTTAAACTTCTAATCCTCCTGCCTCCACCTCCCCAGCGCTGGGATTACAGGAATGCCTCCCCATACCTAGTGTATGTGGTGCTGTGACTGAACCCAGAGCTTGGTGTGTGCTCGCTACTGACTGAGCTGCATCCCAGGCCTTGGTCTCTTTTGTCCTCGCCACAGCTTCGTGAGGGTCAGTAATCTTTCAGTCCTGACTTGGCAAATGGGGAAGCTGAGGCCCAAAGCGATCTGGAAACTTGGTCGATCTGTGAGGTTGGAAGTGGCGAGCCGGAGCTCAACCCAGGGCTGTCTGTCTCTCCATAGCTCGAGCCCTCCTTCCGACGCTAATGGTCTTTTTGCACATCAGCAGATTTCTTAGGCAAGAGCAAGTTTCTCCTCTAGCACCCCGCAGAGAGGATTGTTCTGCTCAAGGTGAGGGACCTCGAGGACCTAAGGAGGTGGCTGGATTTCCTAGGGCTCGGTAGGACAAGTGTCTGGAGATGAGAGGTGTTCCCAGGAGGTGGTGATGGGGCCTCGGCAGCCCTGCTACATTTTCTACCGCATGGGTCCTTTCCTATAGCCTGGCTACCTTCCAATGCCCCACCTTACACCCTTCATGCGCCAAGTTCTTGGCTACCCAGACCTTTGTTCAGGACCTTCCCTGAGCATCCTCAGAAGTTGTCTGTGCTGTTCTGAGGAGTAAATGAAACTGGGATGGACTCTATAGGGTGTATTTACCCAGGGTAACCCCTGAAGTCAGGGCCAGGCGCCCTGGACCTGTCACCCCTATGTGACGTTAGGTGACTTCTTTCCATCATCAGGCCCCAGGGTGCCCGGTTTTAAAAATGGGAAGTAGCCTGGTTGGTGTTTGTGCTGTGGCAGACTTCAGGTAGTGGAGCTGATGGGCAGGTGAGGTGGGGCTGGGAAGATTTGTCTGAGGAACCCAGCCTACCACAGGAGGCCCCTCTGCCAAGAGAAGCAAGGTCAGGCTTGAGAGAGAAGGAAATGAGCCGGGTTGGCAGGGCATGAGGAGATGCTACAGAAGAGGTGAGGTCGTGGGTAGAGCGGCTAGGCCAGCTCAACCCAAGTACGCTGGACAGTGATTCATCCCACTTGGGCAACTCCATTGACTAGCTGGGCATTTTATTGTCCTGTGCCCAAGTATTTAGTTCATCTCACCCGCAGATCCCGTTCTGACTGAACTGACCACTAGTCTTAGGTCAACTATGAAGGCCCGCCATGTCACCTGCATCAGCTGAGCCGACTGGCCAGTTCACGGTGATAACTGCGTCTCCCAGTTGTTTTCAGGAAACAGGCGATTAACCCAGCTAACCCAAGCTGGTAGTTGCCTCTGCTTCTTGGAGACAGCCCTTGGATCTGACAGCTGTAGTCCTGAGGTCAGGACTGGGTGCCACTTACCCAAAGCAGCTGGCTTCCTGAGAAGACTGGGGAGAAACCCCTACAAACGATGGGCTTTGGGACTGTCTCCCCCATCCATCACGTGGGAAGGCTGGACTACGACAGGTATGGCCAGCACATGGTGTGAACACGACTACTCCTCCGCTTTCACCCATGGCAGACATCTGCCAATCAATTATAGTGCCCCCGCCCCCCAGGGGCCCAGATATCTCAGAATCCTTTTCAACACAGAGCTTCAGGCCACCCCTACCAATCAATTAGATTTGGCATGCGTGATAAAAAGCATTTGTCCTTGGGACATTAGACGATGGCCATGGCTGAGCCTTGCTCCAGCTGTGGTGGTGATCTAGGATAGCAACTGATGAGGTATTCTGAAGACTCAGCCAGGGCGGAGACCACCAGACCTCCAACTGTCCCCGGGGCTTCCCGGGCCTATGGAGTGGGCCTTGCACTGCTATGCCTTATTAATTTCCATCACCGTTAATAAATGTAGATTGCGTCAGCTCTCCTCTGCCCCCTCATGTTCTCCGACTGCTGCCATCAGCAGAGACTTTTTTAGAAGTCTCACCGAAGAAGCAGCCAAGCCCCCCCTCCCTTCTTTCAGAGAGACTGGGGGAGATGGGTTTGGGAAGACTTCACAGTGGAGGAATGCACTCCACAGGGAGTTGAAAGTTGTTTTCCTGAAGAAAGAAAATGAAAAGGAAGGAGTCATCACACTGTAGTTTCCCATCCAGCCCTTGAGCCCCGCGGTGGGGACTGGGAATCAATCCCAGGAGGCTAGCGGCTGAAGCCTAGCCTTGTTAGGCTGTTGACAACTAGGTCCTGAAGCGCACAGCCTTAAGGAGCCACTTGCTGGCTCCCTGGCTGCCTCCCTGGCTGATCCTATTTCCAAGGGCCCTGAGCCTTCCCTGCCGGTGGGGGAGGCTCCTGGGGCTTCTGTCTCCAGAGTGGAGGTTTCTCTTTTCCCCGGTGCGGGTGCTGTGCTCTGGGGTGGGAGGATCTTTAGCACAAATCTTAATTTACTGGAGCTGGCGGTTTGAGGTCTGTGGTTCTGCATCCTCCCGCTTCTCCATTTACAGATGAGTGGAGCCTTGCAGGGGGTCGGAGCAGGGTACAGACCTGCCTTGGGAAGAGGATGCAGTGCAGCTCACAGCCGTAGGAAGCTCACTCACTCACACACTGTTTAGCCCAGAGCCCCTTCGGACTTGAGTGGCACCTGTGGAAACAGTGGCCCAAACTCCTGGATTTGAATTAGACTTTTCCTTCTTTTGAAAAAGATTTTATTTAAAAAAAGTTATGTTTTAGATTTATTTATTTTATCCGTTATGAGTATTTGTTTTCCTGAGTGTAGGTATGTGCTGTGTGTGTGCCTGGTGCTCACGGATGTCAGGAGAGGGTGTTGGGTCCTCTGGAACTGGAGCTACAGATGGTTGTGAGTCACCCCATAGGTGCTGGAAACCCAGGCCCTCTTCAAGAGCAGTAGTTCTCTTAACCTCTGAGCCATCTCTCTGGCCCCTATTTAAAAATTTTAAATTACGTTTATATGTGCGTGGGGAGTACACATGAGTGCAGTGTCCTTGGAGACCAGAGAGGCCGTCAGATTCTCTGAAGCTGTAGTGACAGGTGGCAGTGCTGAGGTCTGAACTCAGGTCCTCTGCAAGGTCAGTATGTGCCCTTGACTGCAGAGCCCTCTTTCCAGCTTCTTTTTCTTCTTTCTGAAACAAGGTCTCAGGTATTACAGTCCGGCTTCCACCTCCTCATATGGCTGAGAATGACTCTGTGTTGGATCCTCCTCTCTACCTCCCGAGTGCTGGGATTACAGATGTGCACCACAGTGCCTAGTTTATGCGATGTTGGGCTGGAACTCGGTGTTACCTGTATGCTAGGCTCTCTGTCAGCTTAGGCAACCCCAGCCCTGAATTATAGTCTATGCTTTTCTTTTTCTTTCTTTCCCTTCCCGTTCTTTCTTAAAATATTTATTATTTTACCTGTATGTGTGTATGTCTGAGTGAGTGTATATGTACCATATGTGTGCAGGTACCTGAGGAGACCAGAAGAGGGCCTTGGATGCCCAGGAGCTGGAATTACAGGAGGTGCTGAACAACACAATGTGGGGGCTAGGAACTGAATCTGGGTCCTCTGAAAGAGCAGTAAGTGAGCTTAGCCACTGTTCCATCACCTCTCCAGTCCCCCTTTCTTTCTTCTATAACCTCGAACCCCAAACAAACCAATAAAGGAACACAAACATAGATGTTCAGTATTCCTATTGGCCACATTAAGTGACTGTGATGGATTCTACTGTCTGGATGAAACGCAAGAGCGGAGAGCCTGCCTGCCTGCACCCCTCAGCGCTCCCCCATTGTTGAGCCCTAGAAAGGAATGCAGAATGAGTCCTCACTTTAACAATAAGGTCAGGGGAGGATGAGGGCAGGGCATGCCAAGGGAAACTGGGTGCCTGGAGACTTGGTTGCTTCCTCTTCATCTTCCAAATGTCCTCCTACATCACAGACCCTGAAATGTGATGTAAAAGAAGAGCATGTCCTGGGGGAGGTTCCAGACTGAAAGGGTCAGGGTTCCAGTTGCAAACAGATA